TGCACTCCATTCTGAATGGGGCTGGACTGTATTTGGGGTCAACAGCCCCAGGCCTGCCGGAACAGCCAGGTTTTAATGGCTTTCCGGAAGGCCGGGAGAGTGGGAAGGGTCCGGATCTCTGCGGGTAGATCATTCCACAGGGCTGGGGCAGCTACAGAGAAGGACCTCCCCCTAGTAGTCGCCAACTGGCATTGCGCAGTTGACGGTACCCGAAGGAGGCCCAGCCTGTGAGATCGTTGGGAGGTATGTGGCAGGAGGCGGTCCCGCAGATATCCAGGTCCCAAGCCACGTCTTAAAGCTGTCAAGTTACAAGACCCTTGCACCCCTAACCCTTTAGGGAAAAATAAACCCCAGGGGTGTTCAAACTTGACAGCTTTAAGACGTGGCTTGGGACCTGGATATCTGCGGGACCGCCTCCTGCCACATACCTCCCAACGATCTCACAGGCTGGGCCTCCCCCGGGTACCGTCGACCGGGCAATGCCAGTTGGCGACTACATGGGGGAGGTTTTTCTCTGTAGCTGCCCCAGCCCTGTGGAATGATCTACCTGCGGAGATCCGGACCCTTCCCACTCTCTCGGCCTTCCGGAAAGCCATTAAAACCTGGCTGTTCCGGCAGGCCTGGGGCTGTTGACCCCAAAATACAGTCCAGCCTCATTCAGAATGGAGTGCATGATGTGTTGTATTTTATATCTATCTTTCTTCCCTGTATCTTATTTTATTTTCTTTTTTGATTATTTTTGTATTTTAAGCCGCCCGGAGTCCTACGGGATCGGGCGGCATATAAATGTTATTAAACCTAGACCTAAACCATTCTACTCAGGGCCATCCTTCAAGGCCATCTTTGCTGGTTCAAAATGCAGCGATATGAGCAGTAACAGGCTTTTCACTATGCTTGCTAATTGACTTTTAGGTGCAATTCAAGGCATTGCTTATTACCTATAAAGCCCTTCATGGCATCAGGGCCGGCTATCTGAGGGGCTGCCTATTTCCAATTCTGTCTGGTATTTTGCCTGTCTAGTATTTTCACACAGAGTGGGGGCACCTCAAGTCCCCTTTATTAAACATTGTCTCTGCCCTCTGGAACAGCATCCCACAGAGATGTGGCTTCAGGACGGCCTTTAAAACCTGGCTTTGTTCCCAGACTGGTTTTATTTTCATTTTATTTATTAAATTGATTTATGGAGCTGTCCATCTCACAAAACGTTATTATGTTTGTGGGAGCCTTGTCAGGTTTTTATTGTATTGCTTTTAGTCTGGGCAGTCCTGTTTAATGTTTTTGAGGCTTTTAAATATTTCAGCTGTGTAACTGGATTTAGTAAGCCTCCTAGAGCCTACTGGAGTGAATGGACATGACATAAATGAAATTAATAGATAAGTATTTTTTTTTACTGGGGGAAAGGATTCAGACCATGCATATTTTCTTTTCTTTGTGGATCCTGCTTGCCATTTTCCTAAACCTAGAAAAAAAAATCTCTGTGGCTGGAACAGAGGGAAAGGTAGACTTAAATGAAGTCCTCGGCCTCAGATCCATGGCCTTTTCAGGGATGGCTCCCTTCCTGTGGAATATTCCCTGGAGATAAGATTGGTCCCTTCCTTTTACTTTTCCAGAAGAGCCTGAACACAAGATTCTTAAGGACACCTGCCCCCCCCCCCCCCCCATGTTGACACGGAGCCAATCAAGTGGCTGATTTGATTGTGGGTTTTTTGCTACTTGGGGAGAGTGTTAATGGGTTTCTGTATTGTGGACTTTTAATTTTGTAAACTGTTCAGAGTCACCATGTTTATTCAGGCAGTCTTTGCCTTAGGATCACAGTTGAGACCAGGGTTAAGCAAGCAAGGGTGTTGAGTGAGTCACATCCAATTTTACGACCTTCTTCTCATTTCCATCTTTACTTTATTCCCTATTTGTCAACATAACTTTTCAGTTTCCTCTTTATCTTGTTTTTCTTTCTTGACTTTAGACAGTACTCTAAGGTTGCAAGAATGATAAGTACAGCGTTTCTTAAATGCATCTTTTCTCTTTTTACTGATTCAACTATGAATTGATTCAGATTTTCATTTTTCCCCATTCTGATTATTACTGAGTTTTCCTATCCAGTTTAAATTGGATGCTTTTCAAATTGTTCAGTTCAGTCCAGTTTTTTTTTTTAATTGGGGCATATTACCATATTTTTTGGACTATAAGATGCTCCGGAGTATAAGACGCACCATGATTTTGAAGAGGTAAATTTTTAAAAAAAAGTTTTTGCACTCTGCAGGCCTCCCAAACCTTCTGCATGCCTCGTTTTTTTGCAAAAAAAAAAAGGGGGGGGGCATGCAGATGCTTTGGGAGGCTTGGAGAGGGCCCCCGGGGGCCGGGGGGGGGGGAGATCCATTTTTTGCTCATTTTTGCCCTCCCCAGCCCACAGGAGCACTTTGCAAGCCTCCCAAACCCTCTGCACAGCCATTTTGGTGAAGGGGGTGGGGTTTTGGTAGGCCAAAAATGCTGTATTCAGTATATAAGACACACCCAGATTTTCACCCTCTTTTTTGGGGGAAAAAGGTGCGTCTTATACTCCCAAAAATACGGTACATCTATATTTTTGTTCATTTTTACTGCCTTCCTTTATTGTCCCATATTAAGTTTAAATTTCTCATAGCCTTTAACAAAGCCCAGGTTTGTTAAATGAGCCATAGCAGTTATTAAGTGAATCATGAGGTTGTTAAGTGAGTGTGGCTTTTTGACTTTGCTTGTCAGAAGCCAGCTGGGAAAGTTGCAAATGGCGATCACGTAATCCCAGGATGCCGCATCTGTCCTAAACACATGCTGATTGCCAAGCGCCCAAATTTTGATTATATGACCTTGGCAATGCTGCAATGGTTGTAAGCGTGCGGACCGGATGCAAGTGACTGTTTTCAGTGTCGTAACTTTGAACGGTTGCTAAATGAATGGCTGTACATTGAGAACCACCTGTATAAATTTGCTTAATAAATAAATACTAGAGGTACCAGGCATCCAAGCACTGTCTTTTAAAAATTGGATGTGGTTGTGTGTTCTCTCTCTCTAGAATGCCCATAGCTCCCTGGGTACAGAGACTCCTGCAATGAACCCTTTTCGCATGTCCCATATCTCTACGTCTGCTTCAACAGGTATGACTTAATCTGGATTTCCCTTGTGTAGGAAAACAGGCTTCAGTCAAACAGTGTCTTAATATTTATTCATGAAGTTCCCATGATACAATTAACCAGGGCTTTGAAATATTTGAAGCTTACATGCATTGGAAAATTGTTCTGAAACCACTGGTGCTATCATCCATTTGATTTTTTTTTCTTGTTCACAGATATGGATCGCCCACAGTCTTTGAGCCTTGGCTTAAATACTCAACAACTTAAAACGTTGTCAACCACACTCAAGAATTGGAAGCCCGGGGTGGGTAGTTGATTTTCTTTTGCATGTGGAAACACCAGCAAACCCCCCCCCCCAAACCCTTCAAAGTAAGGCTGTTGAATGGTCAGCATCAGGCTCTGTAGTACAACAACTCACAGCTTTCATTTAATAAGGGTAAATTAAAATCCATCAGTTTTCTAGTCAGTGTTGGGGCACAGTATTATAAAGTTCTCTACTTTCTCTGCATCTGAGAACAGAGGTGACCGAGTCTCTGCAGCCAACTATTGCTAATCAGAATGTTTGCCCTGTTGCCTGGCAAGTAACCTCACCAGATTTCCTCTGTTGTGCTCACCTTTCTGCTCACCTGGTACACTTAACAGCATCCTCTGGTAAAGCTGGCTGTTCAGAAGGTATTTGTGGTTGATAGGCCTCTGATGATATTTGGCTTTGTTAAGGGAGGCTTTCCATGACTGCATCCGGTTTTACGACCTTTTCCTACCACAGTTAAGCAGGCCACCGCTAAGCCAGACATTATGTGACTGAATTGCGACCTCCTACTGGCTTCCCCAGTGGCTTTGCTACCCGAACCGGCTGGAAGATTGCAAATGGGGATAACATGATTGCAAGCCAACTGCCAAATGCCCAGATTGCAATCAAGTAACAGTAGGGAAGCTGCATTGGTTGTAAATGTGAGGACTATTTGTAAGTCACTTTTTTCGCAAAGCTGTCATAACTTCAAACGTTCACTACACCAATAGCCTCATTAGGCAAGGACTACCTACCTATATGTATGCACCTTCACATGCACATATTCCTATTCATACTTTGTATGCATTTGTGTCTACCCCGTGTGGCCACATACAAATATGTTATGTGTTGGTTCTGGACATTACTATGGGAACTGCCATGTTTATATCTAGGTTTCTTTTTCCTTAGTCCTGCCTGCCTGCCATGTGTGGTCTTGGATCTACTTTTCTCAAAGGTGCTTTATTCCCCAAGAAGCAACGGGAGTTTCTTGTTTTTCTTTGAAAACCTTTCGCTTTTCATCCAAGAAGCTTCTTCAGCTTGAATGAGAAGCAAAACATCTTCAAAGGAAAACCAGAAAGTCCAGTTGCTTCTTCGGGGAAAAAAGCACTTTTGGGACAACCATGATCTGGATGACTGAGAATCTCCATAGACATCATTATCTATTTGCTCATTTTCTTCCCTGCCTTGGGTTTCCTGCTACCTAATGGAGTTGTGCTGAGGAGTTGCTGCCCTGTGGCTCTAGCATTTGTTATCTCTGTCAGGTGGAGAAGGCAAAGGTGAACCAACTCACAAGGACCGTGGAAGGGGACAGTTCAGCGTCCAGTCTGGAGGCAAAACAGCCGAACAACATTGCTGGGGGCAAGCTGCCAACACAAAGGTGAGAAAAGGGCCAAATTTCCCCTTGTGATTTTTTGGGGTTTGGATGGGTGGATTATGTTTGTAGTAAATAGAAATCTTGGTAGTTCCGCTTGCTATAGGTAGACCTCAACATATAATCGTTCACTTAATAACCATTCACAGTTACTGTGGCCTCAGCCATTGTACCTTGCAGCTTGTAAAGCACTTCTGCCCATCCTACAATGACACACTGCACAACCTTCCCACAGTCACATGACCCCATTTTGAGCACTTGGCAACCCGCTCACATTTTGGAATGGTGGTAAGGTCCTGCAGTCATGTGATCATGACCTGATATTTTTTGTCAGTTTTCAGCAAAAAATAAAACAAAAACCCACCCATTGGGGAGAATGGATTCAGACTTAGAACGGTGTGATCCATTTAACAATTGCTATTAAAATGGTTGTAAAATCAGGTCACGTGGGTGCCTTGACTTACGACTGTCTCAACTTCCATCTGAAATTCTAGTGCCAATTGTGATTGCAAATTGAGGACTACCTGTATAGGTTTCTTGGTTGCCACACTGGGCTCAGCGTGGCTTAATCCTAACTGAATGTTAAGTAATTTATTTTGAAGTAACATAGTTTTTCATTGCAGGTTTTTAAATGAGTGTTTTTTGCACCTCAGAGAGGAGGAAGGTATTTTCACCTTTTCAGTAAAGAGGAAAAAAGAGTTTTTAAACTCCCACCTTTGCCTACCCTTTCCTCGCATTGTGAATTGCCTCATAAATCCACACTAGTTCTGATGCTTGTTAACTTTTTGTTGCTTTTGCTCTTGAACAGCAGTTCAGTTGGCAGGAAGGAAATCGCAGGAACCTCTTGGAAGGGTGAGCAACTGCTTTCTTCTCTATGATCTAGAGCAGGCTTATCAAGCTGGCAGCCCATAGGCCGGATACGGCCCGCAAAGGCCACACCCATCCCGGCTCTGCAAAGGAACAAAACATTGCGATATGTCATGATACAGCCCACGATGCGTGCGGGTTTGACACCCCTGATCTTGAGCCATGGGGAAGATTCTCTTCTCCTTTTTTATTTTGGAGTATAGCCTAAACTTGTCCTCTCTCTATGTCTATCAATATCAGTGAGAAAGTACAAATCAATCAGATAGTGTAGATCACGATTGTCAAACTCAATTTCATTGACGGCCACATTAGGGTTGTATTTGACCTCAGGGTGGGACGGAAGGTGGGGGGGAGCCAGCTTGACATCACTTGTATTGGGGGGTGCCCATGGCATGGTGATCTGAGTGCTCTGCCAGAGAAAATGGGCTCCTGAACTCTGTTTTCAGCTGCGATAGCCTCCTGCAGCCCTCTGACAGCAAAAACGGAGTGGCCCTCTCAAGCTCCATTTTTGCTGGCAGAGGCACCATAGGCTGGTCCTTCGCTTTTTCCAGGGAGCCGCCGTGAGCCAGATCTAAGCACCCTGTTGGCTGGATACGGCCTGCAGGCCTTGAGTTTGACACCCCTGGTGTAAATCAAACAGTATGAATTGTTTATCTTTCAGTAACGGTTCAACCCAGTTCTTGCCTTCATCTGACACTTGTTTTGTCACCATATAAAAAAATCCGGCCTGCTCAGCACACAGAGCATTCATAGGGAATAGCATTCCTCAAAATTATCTCAAGATGGTATAGGTAGTCCTTGACTTACAATAGTTCATTTAGTGACCATTCAAAGTGACAATGGTACCGAGAAAAGTGACGTATGACCATTTTTCACACTTACGACCTTGTAGCATCCCATGGTCGTGTGATCAAAATTCAGACACCTGGCAACTGACTCATATTTGTGACGGTTGCAGTGTCCCAGGGTCATGTGATCACCTTTTGCGACCTGAGAAAATCAATCAAAATGAAAAATCAAAATCAATGGGGAAGTCAGATTCAATTAACAACAATGTTACTAGCTTAACAGCTGTGATGTTTCACTTAACTGTGGCAAGAAAGGTTGTAAAATGGGGCAAAACTCGCTTAAGAATGTTTTGCTAAGCAACAGAAATGTTGGGTCCAATTGTAGTTGTAAGTCGAGGGCTACCTGTATTGAGATTTCAAGCAACACTTGCTTTTCCTTGATAGAGACCAGCTTTTCCCAACCTGGGACCATTGAGGTGCGCTTGATTTTAGCTCCCTTAATTTCCCTCCAGTGTGACCTTGATTCCAAAGTATTGGATGATCACCTGTTTAGGGAAAACTGGCAAAAAATAAGACTAGAGGTAGCCCTCTGGTTATGTCCATTTATTCAGCAACCATTGAAAGCTACAATGTCCCAAAGAATGTTTTTTTAAGAGGCAACCGGACTTTCGGGGTGTGTGTGGTTGAAGGGTCAAGCTTCTTCAGGTCTCTTCTTGAATGACAAGGGAAAAGTCTTCAAAGAAAAACCAGAAAAGTCCAGTTGCCTCTTGAAAAAAAGCACCTTTGAGACAACCATGACCTGGATGACTCAGAATCTCCATAGACAAAGCTACAATGGTGCTGGGGAAAAAAGGACTTATGCCGAGTTCTTAAGCTTGTGGCCATTGCCATGTCACTATAATCGTGTGATCAAAATTTGGATGCTTGGTGGCTGCCCTGCACTTGCAACCATTGCAGCGTCCTTTGGTCACCTTCTCCTGCCCTGCACGAGCTGCCTCCATTCCAACTTCCCCCACCCCCACCCCATCTGCCTGTTTCCTTGGCTATCTCTGCAGAGGGCAGGAGAGGCAAGAGGTTGTTGCCTAACGGCCACGACTGGGACTGCCAGGACTGCTGTCACTAAAAACGTGCAGCCACATGCTGTTTTACTTAATGGCCCCTTTGCTTAGCAAGTGGTGCAAATTAGGTCATAACCCAAGGACTCTCTGTAATTCAGCTGAAGCTAACTTGGTGGCACTCCTTATCTTTTATCCTTACAGAGGAAGAGTTCACGCCAGACCCAGCAGCGAAAGCAAGCATCCTTTTGAACATAGGCTTGAGCCACTCCGCCTTTGGGGCCACAGGCAAAGTGAGCCTGGCCCAGCGGGTACCGCTGAAAGATGCTCAGAAACAATCAGGAAGGTGCGACAGTGTGCAGGTGAGCAACACCACATCCCTTGGTTTGTTTTGGTTATTCCTAGATGCAGGAGGACACCTGCCTTGCATATGTACACCTTGGGCCTTCTCCTAACCCTGTTGTCTACTGGTAGTCCTCGACTTAGAACAGTTCATTTAGTGACTGTTCAAAGTTACAACAGCACTGAAAAAATTGACCAATGACCCTTTTTCAAACTTACTACCATTGCAGGATCCCATGAAAATATAGTTGCAATGTCCCTGGGTCACGCGATTCCCTTCGGAGACCTTCTGGCAAGCAAAGTCAGTGGGGAAGTTAATTTAAAAAGTGCAGTGATTCACTTAACAAATGGAAATTTGGGGCCCAATTGTGGTCATAAGTCGAGGACTACCTGTAGCTGTTGATGGGTTGCTAAGAAGGTTTCAACCTATGGAGGAGAAGCTTTCATCTGTGGTGACTGTTGGGCACTGACTTTGTTTCCTGTCCCTAGGGGGAAGATCTCGCTCTGTCCCAGCCCCGCACAACTGTTAGGTCAGCAGGGAAGTATGGCCGTGTGTCCTGCCGTACTACTCCAGGCCCTAAAGGTACCATTTACAGAGCGGTTGGAACTCTATTTCAATTTTGGAGCTTTTCATGACTGCATCTCCCTGATTTCTAACTTCCGTCTTGTCTGTTTTGCAGCTCTAGAGAAGCTGGAAGCTTCTGGAGCCCAGCAAACAAATACACCATTTGGGAGGTGTTCCAATGCTGAATGGTCACCTTATGGACTAGCCAGAAGAGTTCCCATTACTAACTCTCAACCCTTGGTTTGTACTTGAGGCAATCTACCTGAGAATTTCTGAACTGTATCCCTAATGTCCAGCTAGTTCTTGATAATAACCTGATGGTTGATAAACCCAAATATGTTTAGCACTGCTGAGTGGTTGGAGACAAAGATATTCTTTAGTACTTTGGCCCATATGTAAGATGTATATGTCCACTCCTGGCCCATATTAATAACCTTTTCTAGTTTCTTGTTTGTTCAGGCATAATTCAACATTGGTGGCTTTTAATCCATAAAGCCCTCTTTCTCTTGAAACCAAACATGTCTCCTTGCTTCTCTATTGTGGGTGGGAACTGTGGCCCATTGGAGCTTCCTGAACTATAAGTCCCACCATCCCTCACCACTTACTACACTGGGTGAGACTGCTAGGATTTGTAATTCACAATTTGTATGCTTTGCCCCTACTATGCATATAGATGTAATAATAGAATTATTATCTTTATGTTCTCCTTCATTTACACTCACCTTTAAAAAGTTTGTAGGTGTCAGCAGGTGGAAGATGGTGACAGTTTAGTGATGTCACTTTCTCAGTGATAACCAGATTAGCACTGCTGCTTTTAGTGACAGGCCCAAATATTTTAGTTTCTTCATGGGAAATTCTGTTATATTTTCAATTAGTTGTGCACAGCTAATCCCCGACTTACTTGGAAAAAGTGACTTGCAACCTGCACTCACACCATTCCCACGATCATGTGATCACAGGCAAGCATTTACGACTGGTTGCAGTGTTATGTGGTCCTTAGATCATGATTTGCAACCTTTTTTATTTTTTGCCAAATTTTGACTCCCCAAAAAAAGCCTTCTGGAGAAGCCCAGTTTGCTTAATGAGTGCTGGATTTTGGTTCACAGCTACATGTTTAGCTTCAGAGCGGTCATGAAAATTTAATAAATTTAGGCCTGACTTGAAATTCCTGTTCAGATTGTGGTCAAAGCTCGATGATTACCCGTATATCAAATGGAAAGTGATATGCCCCATCTTTTACTGTTGAAGCTATCATCTCCAAAGGGTAAGGCAAAAGAGACTAAAATATTTTAAGCTGTCCTACAGTAAGATGGTCGCTTTGACTCAGAACTGTTTCATATGACCAGAAGCATTTCTGCAGTGCCATAATTGGGTGCGTGTTCAATGTGCTGTTATCATTGAATAATGAGCCTCCCTCCCCCCTGTTAGATTTGCCCCTTTTGAAGTACTGTCTTGCAGTTCTCTGTGATTTCATTCAGTCGTTCTCTGAATACTTTTCTCCTGTATTGGATCAGCGCCGTGCGACCTGGACACGTCACCGTATACGTCATACTGCCTGTACCACGGACAAAAGGGTGGGTACCCATCAGTTAAAAAAGACATAGCGGCAGAAAACTAGGCAATTTTGCTTCTAATAGCCAGGGAGACTTTGGCTCACAAGCTGGTCCAGATTCCTCTGTTCCACATGTTAGAAAGGAGGCAAACCTAGATTGATCTTGACCTCACAAGAACATAATTTAGCATTTTTTTTCTAAACTGGGTGTCCATTACAAGCCACAGTATCAAAATGGAGATGCATCACGACATCATACAATTTTTGTAATTATCAGCTGGTATACTATTTGGGGGACGCGGTAGCTCAGTGGCTAAGACGCTGAGCTTGTCGATCAGAAAGGTTGGCGGTTCGAATCCCTACTGCTACGTAACAGAGTGAGCTTCAGTTACTTGTCCCAGCTTCTGCCAACCTAGCAGTTTGAAAGCATGTAAAAATGCAAGTAGAAAAATAGAGACCATCTTTGGTAGGAACGTCACAGCGTTCTGTGTGCCTTTGGTGTTTAGCCATGCCAGCCACATGACCATGGAGACGTCTTTGGGCAGTGTTGGCTCTTCGGCTTTGAAACTGAGATGAGCACTGCCCCCTAGAGTCAGGAATGACTAGCACATATGTATGAAAGGAACCTTTACCTTTACCTATCATAATATTTGATGCAAGTATATAAGTTACATCACTTTTCTGATGGGTGTCAGATGCATATGTCATTTGGACCCTGGCAGACACCCATGGATGGATGCTCATGTGTTGGTATGTCTGNTCTCTCCATTTCCCATTCATTCATTCCCTAGATCAGGGGTGGGCTACTATGGCCCCCTATTGCTTCATTATGACCAACTGGCTAAAGAATTCTGGGAAATTAAGTCCCCAGGTCATAAAGGGGCAATTGCTTTTTCAGGAGGCAACTGGACTTTGTTTTTTCTTTTGAAGACGTTTCGCTTCTCATCCAAGAAGCTTCTTCACTTCTGACAGGATAGTGGGGAATGGAAGGATTGATATTCCTTGCAGACAGCTGGTAATCTGCATCCTTTTAGAGGGTCCTTGAAGCACTTGGAGGTTTATCTGTGTCCTCAGAGTCACCTGAGCAGTGCTCCTGGTTCCTGTAGTCTGCAATTTCCCCTCTGGAAATCCGTTCCTACTCCCACACCATTCAAAGGGTGTTCATCCCAAACCTTTGGGACAACCATGATCTGGATGACTGAGAATCTCTACAGACGTAAAGGGGGCCATAGTTGCCTGCCTGTGATCTAGGTGATAAAGGAGCTTAGGACTGGAGGAACCTACACCCTAAATATCTCTCCTCCCCCATCTTTTTTTGCAGCAAAAAAAAGCTACACTTTGCCTTCAAAAATTGTTCCTCATCTTTCCTAGATTTCTTCTTTTAATGCTAATTGCAATCTGGCTGGGCCCTCCTCGTGGTTTACCATGGCAATTTAATTAATTTTGCCTTGAATTACATTTTAGATCAGTTTTTATAGAATTGCGAGACATGAATTGTGAGATATGAATACACAATCTTTTCTCTGAAATTAGCTCGTCTAAAAGACGACTCTTCAATTCTGAAAGAACAAAGGAGTGATCATATTAGTGTTTGGCCACTAGATGGCAGCCACGTCCCAACTTCACTTTGGTAATTGCATTTTGTATTCTATCCCATTTTTAAAACAAATAGTCACTGTGAGTACTTTTTTCACATTCTATCTGCTGTGGAGAAGAGCAGGAACACCGCTCTAAAAATTAACTAGGGTTAAATAAAAGGCATATTAGCCAGGAAGAGGCTAAAAATTGGGCTAAGTTATGCTTGTCCTGAATCTCATACCTGAACTCTGAGAACAATCAGGCTTTTTTCATCTACCTGGAAGGAAATGATGCAAATGAGTGATGCACATTATGATTTTTATATATTTATTAATTAAGCATTATATGCTTCTAAAAGTCTGTCTGATTTTGGCTTGGATTAAAGATATTTAATGCAATAAACTTTTTAAAGTCAGGAATACGACAGGCAGTAGGGAAGGAAAAAGAACCACCTCACTAACCTCTTACAAATAGTTCTTGACTTACAAACACAACTGAGCCCACAATTTCTGTTGCTAAGTGAGATGGCTGTTAAGTACCATATTTTTGGAGTATAAGGCGCGTCTTATACACTGAATACAGCATTTTTGGCCTCCCAAACCCTTGCACCCTTTGCAAAAATGGCTGTGCATTCCAGAGTTCTCCTGGAGGATGGGAGGGCAGAAACGAGTGAAAAACTGGTCATTTTTTGCTCGTTTCCCCCCACCAGTCTCCTGGAGCACCCTGGAAGCCTCCTAAAGGCTTTATTTTGACAGAAAACAGGCCCATTTTCACGAAAGATGGACCGTTTTTGGGAGGTCTGCAGAGTGCAAAAACGTGTTTTGTTCTTAATTTGCCTCTTCAAAATCTTGGTGCGTATTATACTCTGAAAAATACGGTAGGTTTTGCCCGATTTTATGATCTTTCTTGCCCCAATTGTTAAGTGAATCACTGTAGTTATTAAGTAATAGTGCATTTGTTAAGTGAATGTTGCTTTCCCATTGACTTTGTTTGTCAGAAGGTCACAAAAAGGGATCAAATGACTCTGGGACACTGCAACTGTCATAAATATGAGCCAGCTCTCAAGTGCAATGGCCGTAAGTGTGAAAAAGGGTCATAAGTCCCTTTTCTCAGTGCCTTTGTAACTTTGGTCACTAAATGAAAGTTTGTAAATCGAGGACTACCCGTATTCTGCGGCTGCTGCTATCATTCTCTTCTCAATCTGGCTTTTGGGAGAATGAGTCTCGAAGATGAGGTAGCACTGGCAATGGAGCAGGGGTGAAATGCTACCGGTTTGGGTTGGTTCGCCTGAACAGGTAGTAAAAAATGCTACTGTTTGCCGGAATCGGTAGTAAAAAAATGCTTTGAAAAGTTTTTTAAAGCTCCGATGATCTCCTGTGTGACAATCAGCTGTGCCACGCGATCATTGGAACTTTATTTTTACTTTTTAAAAACATTTTTTTACTACCTTTACTACCGTTTACTGTCCAAACCAATAGTAAAAAAAGGCTAAAAAAAGTTCTGGTGATCAGCTGTGCGACAATCAGCTGTGCCTGATTGTCTATGAGGTTCCTGTTTGTTGCAGGGGCCATTTTGTGTGAAGCCCAGCTGCTTTTACATTGTGTGTGCATCAGTTGTGCAGCTTTTGTGTTATTTTTGTATAAAGTGTGATAGTTGGTTTTTGAGCTCCCTGTGACTCTGTCAGGTTCCTGCTTGTTGTAGGGGCCATTTTGTGTGAAGCCCAGTTGCTTTTACATCGTGTGTGAGTCAGTTGTGCAGCCATGCCCACCCGGTCACATGACCACCAAGCCACGCCCACATAACCGGTAGGGAAAAATTTTGAATTTCACCACTGCAATGGAGGACCTCTTGTGACAATGGCAACTATCCTAGAATTGCCCACAAGGGAGAAGGCCTTAGCAATCTGCTTCTGTATCTTGTCCTGAAAATCTGATGGATAGTCATAACAAAAGAAATCGTGACACAGTGCTGAAGAAGAAGGCCCTGAAGAAGCCACTGGAAAGCAGCAAAGGTTACTCCTCAGAGTAAACTTGGCATTTATGATGCGGTTGGAGTTATGTCCTCTCTGGTTTCCCGACTGCTGCTGTAGCTGCGCATGAAATAAAGGTCAGAAACTGTTAGGTTAGAATGCCCTAGATATAATCCAAGGTAAAGCTTCTAGCTGGTAACATCAATAATAATTTCATCCCTGCCAGAGAAGAAATAAAAATAGTTGACAATTTCAATTTGTTTGGATCAATAATCCGTAATGAAACTACAAGCAGCCCAGAAACCAAACGACTAACCGCTACTCAAGAATCGAGATAAAACCAGCGTGCAAAGATGTTTCTCTGGGTATAAAGATCTAAGTCATTGAGCCGTGATGTTTTCAGAGAGTTGGACAATGAAGAAACAAGGTTCGTGCAAGAAAATAGGTGCTTTTGAATTATGGCCTCTGGCAAAGGATACTCCAGATACCGTGGTTTGTCCAATGAATAAATCAATCTATACTGGAAGAAATCAAGCCATAGTATTTCTTAGAAGCTCAGGTGACAAGACGAGGGCTTTCATATTTTGACACACCATAGGAAGAGAAAGAGAGAGATCTTTGAGGATCATAAAACCTGTTGCAAGAACAATCAGCTCTGGTTCCAAGCCAAGAGAAAAACACTGGAAATAAAATGGAGACAGGAAGTCTCTCTTTATTTGGTAGCCGGAAACTAGTGACCATAGCAGATTTCTGGGGTGGCTGACAAAATGGGGTTAGAGTAGATGGGCTTTTATACGTTCTTTGGGGCTTTGTGATTGAGATTCCTTTTTCTGTGTAAGAATATGTCCTTTAATATTGTAATGGCTGTTGCCAGATTATGATGGGGTCATGTAGGAGTCATGGCCAGAGGTGGGTTCCTACCAGTTCAGACTGGTTCGGCCGAATAGGTAGTAACTCAGCCGGCCACGCCCCCAACAGTTCTATCTTGTTTTTTGCTTCTATACATGCACAGAAGCATTTTTTANTTGCCAAGTTTGGAGGCCCCTACTCTAGAGCTTCTTGTTGAAATTCAGCTCATAGCACTTTTCATTGCCTGAGAGTTGCCATTGAAGAAGTGTCCTGACTTGATCATAGTCCATGGACAGCAAAACCCCTGCAGATAGGTCATAGGCCTTCAGTTTGTATCTTAAGGCCCACTTTCAGAACAAGTGGGGTTGGCCAGAGATTGTTAGAGCCAGTTCCATACGATAAAAACAAAATTTTAACTAAAGATTAAAGATTGCCAACCCTTTCCACCGATGACTGGAGAAACCCACTGAGAATACCGAAGCAGTACCGGCTGGACAATCTGTCAAGAGCAGGCTGTCTTCTACATTGGCGGTGTGACAGAAGGACTCCCCATAGACTTTAAGTTTACTGACAGGTGTCCTTTCTCCACTGTTCCCTGTGAGAACAAATCACAAGGCCAGAAGGATGCCTGAAACCACTGCAGGGGACTCTGAAGCGTTGTGAAGGGAACTGAGGGCACAAAAGGTATTTTCTCAAAAGACCTGGCCCAGAAAAAGGGGAGAAAATTCTGGAAGTGAACAACTGTAGTTATGCATGCAATGACCATAGGAATGCTTGAAAAGGGGATGCTTTTCTGAAATGAGGGATTCCTGGCAAGATATATTTTGTTCCTTATGAGCACCAAGAAGAAATGCATTGGGAAAGTGTCTTCCAAACTAATCTGGGGTCTTTAAATGGACCCCCATGAGAGAGAGATGACAGACCAGAAAGTAGCCAGAAGAACAATAACCCAGGAACCTGCAATTCACCAGGTGTTGTGCCCAGGCGGCATAAAAGAGTCAGGAAGTATCAAAAAACTGTCTATAATCAGCCATGCTTCCTTCTGTTTGCCCCCGTAGGTGTCGCAAAACAACGGTTGGATCACCTCCGCACTGCCCCCCTTCGTTTCCACGAAGCCTGCCTAAATGACGAATGTGCCTTCTACACATCTCGCCTTGCCTCCCTGGCTCAGCCCTCGGCACATCGGTGCCAAGAGCCGGTGGCAAAAATGCTGAACGCTCACGATACCATGGTAAGATTGGACTTAGCTTGCCGATGTGCTGGGGGAGCAGCATGTCCAGGTTACCTAAGCCAAAAAGCAACTCCTGATGTTTACAGAAAACATGTACTTGAAAGAATGACCCATGTTGTTCTTTGAAAGTATGCTGTAGCTCAAGGGATGATAATCGTTCCCCTTAGTGCATTTGTGTATGATGGGCTATGCTGCCATTTTCCCACATGAAAAAAGTGCTCTATTCCGTATGGTTTACAAAGGGAGAGTCTATTTATTTGTTTGCCCAAATTCAGTGGCCAAAATCAGAGGATCTGCAGTGGGATGTGTATACAAAACGGGCTGAACCTTTTATGCACGTTCCCACAACTTTGAATTGAATGTGCTGGCTAACATGAGGTATTTTACTCATGAGATGCAACTCTCCCCTCCCTTTCCTTTCTTGGCCTACTGTGAAGAGGCTCAAAACCTGGCTCTGCCTGATAGGAATGTTCCATGTTGAGAGGATCATTACGTTAGGAAGAAGATCCGTGCTGCACCCTGTAACATTTGTTGTTTAAAAAAAATATTTAATCTATGGATTTAAAATAAAACAAATTGTTTTGTACCTTTGTTTTTTAAGAAAATTGTAAGCCATCCAGAGCCGCTTGACAGTGTTATATAAATTTAATCAAATCAAATAATTTTGAGGTTTAAAGGATCTATTTCTGAGGAAAAAATGAGACGCAAGAAGTACCGTATTTTTTGAGTATAAGACACACCTTCCCCCACCTCCCCCAAAAAGAGGGTGAAAATCTGGGTGCATCTTATACAATGAATACAGCATTTTTGTCTTCCCCCTTTGCCTGCCCCCTTTGCAAAAATGGACATGCAGCGGGTTTGGGAGGCCTGAAAAGTGCTCGTCGTTTTTGCTCGTTTTTGCCCCCAGACCCGAGGAGCACTTTGTAGGCCTCTCAAACTCTGTGCATGCCCCATTTTTCACAAAAAATGAGATGTGCAGAGGGTTTGGGAGGCCTGCAGAGTGCAAAAACCTTTTAAAAAAATTTACCTCTTCAAAAACTTGGTGCGTCTTATACTCCGGTGCAAAATACGGTATGTCTGGCTTGTAGAATTATGGGCTCCAAAACATGCAGGTGTGCTGAGGGCAGAGCAGGGGCATATCAGAACATTCTTATCATGGGTCAGGATGTTCTGAGTTGTTTTCTGTGGCAACCAAGAGCTTTGTATTAACCTTTATTTCAAGACAGGCTCATTCTTCAAAGAAAAGGGTATATGCTTGCTCTTTTCTTCTTAAGACTGGATTGCCATTAAACTGCTGACATTTTAATTGCTGTGTTTGCCTGGACTGAAATGGTGGCCGCTGGCATTGTAGTTCAGCTTGCTTTTGATCAATATCGTCCATCTTTTTCTTGTCTGAATACCCTTTACTTGAAGCTTATCGATGCATTCATGTAGTTTCTGTGTAAGTTACTAAAATCTGTAGCTGATTTGGTGCTGTGTCTTATTTATTCAGAACTAGCTGATAACCCGGCATTGTCTGGGTATTTTCCCCCTTACCAGAGGGAGCCCCCTTGTGGAGTACTATTAAGCCATTACCATGGCAACTCCAATGTGCTGTACAGTAGAAGCCATTTTACGGCAGTACAGTAGAATCCATTTGAAGGCACAAAAGGCTGTATTACAACAGAACACACACCCAGAGTGGTATTAGGGATGTCTTACCCCCACAGTATTTGTTTCCAGAGAGTAAGTCATCTGTGTACCAAGTTTGGTTGAAATTGCTCAAGGCATTCCAGAGTTATGCTGGAACATAAACACACACACACACACACACACACACACACACACACACACACACACACAGCCATTTTTATATAGGGAGATTAGTTGTTTGTTTGTTTTTTGACAGAGGGGCCAGCAAGAGAGCCAGTTTGGCCTAGTGGTTAGGGCGTCAGGCTAGAAATCAAGGTACCATGAGTTCAAGTCCTGCTTTAGACATAAAAGTTGGCTGGGGGACCTTGAGCCAGTCACTCTTTCTCAGGCCAATTAACTTCACAAGGTTGTTGTGGGGAAAATATAAGAAGGAGCTATGTTGGATATGTTTGCCGCTTTGAGTAATAATAATAACAACAAAGGGTTGAATTTTCTAACAGTTTTTTTTTCTTCATGAGACAAATTTGTGGATTTTTCCTTTTATAATTTT